ACCTTCCTACCATAGTGGACTGAAACTCTCTGAACTAATGGGCCTGAGTAAGCATTTCTTCCTTCGAGCTGTTTCTGTCAGGTACTGGGTCAGTGACTCAGGAGCAGCAACTACATCCAAGAGCTCAGTTCTAGTCTGTGGGCAGGCCCCCAGGCTGCTGTCAGGTTTGGAAGCCTCATGCTGTCTCCATGATGCTCTCTCAGAATCCCCTCATTCCAGTGCAGCTCAGCACTGCATTTTTTGTGGTGGTTTATTTTATTCAGCAACCATGTGCATATAGAAAGACCCCTGTCTGTTTGTCTGTCTGTCTATCACCTTGACCAGAAGATCCCCTATGCCTTTATCTTCATGGCCCAGCCCACTACTTGCAGCTTGAGGATTCTGCCATGAGCAACTGGTTTGCTGTTCCTCATAGCTCCTGGGCTTCTCAGTCTGCTCCTTAGAGAGCATGCAGCTACCAAGCTTGCTGCTGGGCACCCTGAGTACAGGCAGTAAAGACTTTCTTATTAAAGAAAAGTATGTCACTTTCTGTACTTGGCCACCAACAGCTGGTTGTGCTGGCTAATGCTACCAGTCACCTCTCCCTCCAGCAGCCACTGAAGCCTGTCCAAGAACGGAACCAAACAGGAAAAGATGGTAGGACAGTGGTAACAAGAGAGATCGAGGAGAAAGGACAGGCATCAAAACAGTGGCTTTGAAGAAAGCTATTGATTCTTGTGGAATCTTTCAAGCCTAGTAGGAAAAGGCAGAACACATTTCTCCCAACAATTGTTGCAGCTCCTACATACAGTTTTCTATTAAGGGTTGATACAATAACAGTAGTAGCAGTAGTTAATACTTATGGAAACCTAAGACATGACACATGCAAAGTATCTTAAATACTATCAATATAAATATAAAATATCATACTTACATGGATCAACATTAACATGTGATACTAGGTGACAGGTGTCAATCAAGTGTGTCTATTAATTCTCCTAACACAATTATTTACTATTATGACTCAGGGCCCTGATGAACTTGAGGGGCAGAGGTTAAGCAACTTGCCAAAGGTTACATGCCTATTCAGTGGTAGGGCTTCATGCTTTATCTCCAAGTCTCCCTCTACATTGCCTCCTCATGCACACTTTTGCATGCATCACTTTAGTCTTCAGAACAACCCCAGGTAGAATGATTATGACCCGCTTTTTATAGCAGGGAATTAGAAAAGCATGGCTTCTGGGGATGCTGTGAATGTGTTGCTCTGATTGATTGATAAATAAAATGCTCATTGGCCAGTAGCCAGCAGGCAGTATAGTGTAGGCAGGATAAGGAGAGAGGAGAAATCTGGGAAGTGGAAGGCTGAGTCAGGAGACGCTGCCAGCTACAGTCATGAGAAGCAGATGTTGAGATACCGGTAAGCCACAAGCCACGTGGAAACTTATAGATTAATAGAAATGGGTTAATTTAATGGGTTAGTCTGAAGGTAGATTTTTCTCTTGATAAAGAAACAAAAAAGGTGAACATCTTGTTCGTAAACAGGCATCTAGTAACTAGTGGTAAACTTGAAATGGTAGAATTCTTTAAAGCCTAATTCTAG